CGGCAATATTGCTGCAAATCATGACCAAATATTTTCTTCTGGCAACATCTTTCGGCATTATTGCCGCAATATTGTGGCAATATTGTTTTTTGTATGTAAGTTAGATATAAATTGGTATTTAATAGAAATAATGATCTATCAATCTAACAATTAACAAACGGTGCTGAGGAATATAACAAACAATAGTGAGTCACAGGGTCAATAAGAAATAGCTACTTCTGCTAGAAAATAATGTTGATCATCAGAATAAAAATCAAGATATGTTTGTGAAACACTATGCGCTTGGTGGCTATAAAGTTTGAAAAAGCTATTTATAGCATATGGGTCACAGTCAAGGTCACAAGGTCATTGATCTTGGTGTCATTTGAAAGAACTTAATTAGTGGAGTATGCATACTAAGTATGAAGTCTCTATCTCTTATAGTTCAAAATTTATGGCAGAGGATCAAAATGGCTATTTTTAGCATATGAGTCACAGTAAAGGTCAAATTGTCCTTGACCTTGGTGTTACTTGAAAGAGTTTAATTAGTGAAGGGTGTATACCAAATATGAATTCTCCATCTTTTATGACTCAAAAGTTATGTCGAAGTTTCAAAAAATCTATTTTAAGTATATGGTCACAGTCAAGGTCCCAAGGTCATTGACCTTGGTGTTATTTGAAAGAGCTTAATTAAGGAAGGGTGCATACTTAATGCACGTTCTCTATCTTTTATGGCTCAAGATTTATGTCCAAGGTTCAAAAAATCTATTTTAAGGATATGGGTCACAGCCAAGGTCTCAAGGTCATTGACCTTCAGGTGTCTTTTGAAAAAGCTTAATTAGTGAATTATGCATACTAAATATAAAGTCTCTATCTTTCATTAATTATTAAGTTATGATGAATACTCGAAAAAGCTATTTTTAGCATATAGATCACAGTCAAGGTCACAAGGTCATTGACCTTGATGTCATTTGAAAGAACTTAATTAGTGGAGTAGAAATACCTGAAATCTTTATCTCTCATTGGTTCAAAAGTAATGGTGAAGGTTAAAGTTTACAAACAGACAGGACAAAAAACAATATGTACCCCCGATCTATCAAGACGGGCGCATAAAAAATGTTTATAGAAACAATATTAATATGCCACTGTGAAAATGTCCATGCAGCAACTCTGCATTAATTTTCAAATATATACATGCTTTAATTCGATCATCTTTTCCTGCTACTCTAGGATATATAGACATACAAGTCTGAGTAGTATGCATGCATCACAAGCACTAATTGAAACACATATAATTTTTCCTATTTTATCTCCATTGAATCATTCATCTCAAAAAGAATATTGGTTTTGACTCACCAAGTCTGATGATATGGAAACAGAGTACACATTCCTATAATTCTGCTTAAATTCTTTTTTCTAGTCATTCCACATTATGCAGTCTTACTACTCATCTTGTCTAATCCCAATGTACACAATTAAGAACTCTAATTAACTTGATACAAGTCAGTAATGAAGCAAAACATGCTTGCCTTTGAATTCCCTCCAATTTATTTAAAAAGAGGAAGTAAATGACTGAGCATTCTCAACAAATGGCTCATGGGTAATCCTAGATGTTGCCAGAAAGTTTTTTTTCTGGCAGTATTGCCAGAATGTCACCGGAAGTTGTTGCAGCTAGCGGTGATATTTCATTTTTTCTGGCAGTATTGCCAGAATGTCACCAGAAGTTGTTGCTGCTAGCGGTGATATTTCACTAACCCAAAAAGCTTGTTTCTGGTGACAAAAATGTGTTGCTGCAATGTTGCCGCAATATAGCGGCAATATTGCTGCAATAATTTTACTTTGGTAAGGGTCATTTTACTCATTTTCATTTGAAAAATTAAACGTTAACATGAATTTGTGTTTATTCAGATCGTTACAGCGTAAAGGCGTAAGAATTTTTATGGCGTCGGGCTTGCCCGATCGTCATCTGGCGATCAGTCAGGTTTACGCGACCGCACGTGTCAGTGGATGCATCCGCAATAGAAAATAGCAACAGCTGTAAACCAATTTCTTTTAAAACGTTCACAATGAATAATAGCTTGAATATAAAATTAAATCAATTGTATCTTCAATTAATACTATTACAAAACAACGATATTATGTTTAATTTTTACGCAAGAAAAACGTTATGGTTGTTGCGGATGAATTTCTACAGTGAGGGTGCGTCGAATGACATGAATCACATTTTTGGGACCGATTAATGTAATACAAACAATCTTAAACACGGTAAAATAATTACAAAATAAACACGAATACAACAAGACTATAAAGATTGAATTTCTTTATCTTAGCTTTACTTTTACGATCTTCAATCCAATTTTATCCGAACAACCGACGATATTGACCAGTAATGCCAGTATTACTGTATTTATCCATTTCCTCCATTTGTTTACCGCGCCCTATCGTAAGTCGATCGTAACATTAGAGTCATGGTTGTAGTTAAGATGCAATCACTATACAACAGAACAACGCTCTGACAATGGCAATTAATTAAAATAATTTATGAAACCCTTCATATGTCTTCGATTGACTGAAAAGAAATTAGATTGATATAGAGGATGGACATTTCTGACGATGTCTGGTCAATTCGAACCCTGACTCATTCGGACCAGGACACAAGGCTATCAGGCCCTATACTGTATTTGTGTTAAGACTATTTTTATTATTATGTTACCGGAGTCAATCACTTGACCTATCTGCAGATCTTTTGAAATTGTTTTTCGACGCCATTGAAGCCTTTCAGGCTTTTGATTTTTAAAGGGGGGGGGGGGGAAAACTCAAGATTAAAATCTGAAAAGAAGGGATCACCTCTCTCCCTGATACTACCTGCCTGACATGTATATTTATTTCTTAATTTCGCTCTAAAATCTGCAATGAAATATTTCAATTTATGTACGATTATTGAATAATACATGACGTGTACAAATACATGTAATATACATGTATATAAACAATAAACACTTCAAAAACAGTTGCTGGAATAATAGAAACATAATTATTATACTTCACAAGATCAGTCGGTAGAGCGCTCACTTCGTGAACGGGAGGTCGTGAGTTCGAATCTCGGCCGCGACTGACCTAAGTCGATAAAAAAATGGGTAGCAACTGTTCCTTCGCCATGCGCTCGGCACTTTGAAGTGAAAGTTGCGGGTCCTTCGGATGAGACCTTAAAAACCGAGGCCCCGTGTCAGCAGCAGGTGTTGGCACGATAAAGATCCCTCACTGCTCAATGGCCCTGAGTGCCGAGTAAAGGTCAAAATTTGAAGCCCTTCACCGGCATACGGTGACGTCTTCATATGAGTGAAAAATTCTCGAGAGGGACGTTAAACAATATACAATCAATCAATCAATATACTTCACAAGGATTCATTCTTATAATAAATATCACAAGATTGGTAAATGCAATTCAAACTCTAATTATTTTCTTCGTTGCATTGATATATTCGAAGATTATATGCACCCCCAAAACGTGGCAAGAGTGTAAGGTTGCTTTGAATATTGAAGTTGTCGGTATAGTGCATTTGTTTAGGCTGATTAAATGTGAAGAAATTATAACGTTTTTTGGTATTTTTTGCTCGTTTGTTTCTTTTTTGTAAGAAATTAATTGTGTATTTATATACATCTACTCGTATATTGATTCTGTGCTGTTCGCTGTGCCCAGAAATATTACAATTACATGAGAATTAAAATACATGTATGTCCCGGAAGTTTCATCATCGTTTGATATAAGTGATATTCATCGAAGTCTATAGAGAACTTTGTTTCGAATTTTAAAAAATGAAAGCTGGTGACTGCACTTTATAAATACGAGTAACATATGTCGCTTCCAACAGAAAACACGCTTTCCGGAGGTATTCACCTGTTACGGTATGGAATCCCGTGACATATTATCTATTCTTAACAGGTCATCAAGAGGTTAATCCTATGTAAATGTACTCAACGAACAGACTAAAAATCGTGATACTTTTAAGAAGAAAACATAGAGCGCAAGGTTTTTCAACGAAGATATTTTTATACAATCTGTATAAATATGTATACACATTATATTTTGATCTCGACTTTGAACAAACCTGCGCTCGATGTTTACGAAAGTAGTGAAGTGGGTACCTGTCACAAATTTCTTTTGATATTCATGAAAATCAAAGGGACCCCACCTTCAAAACACAGCTTCGCGTGCTGTCTGTAGCAATTATTTGAAATTTTTAAACGTTGGTGCAAATACTAGACATCAGAGAATAATATAATTTACTTTTTAATGAAAGTTTAATTTGACGAGTAAGCGGGGACCACAGATAATGCCTTATTTAGACTTGTTCTTGAGAGGAATCTGATTATTAGAAAAAAAAGTAAAGAAAGCAAATTATGTGAAATCACATATTTTCGTGGGGGGTTTAGTTTTCGTTGTTTTCTTGGCAAGAAGAGACCCACAAATTCACGTCCACCACAAAATGTGAAATTTTCATTTCTATTTCACAATAATTTAATTTTACTTGTAACACGCCATTGATTGGATAAAAGATTTTATTCATTTTGGATAACATAACTTGCCTACGTCACAATGAGTTACGTCTAAAAAACGTATTACTCCGCTTGACGTTACTTTTAAAATTAAATCATTATGAGGCCTTATTCTGCCTACGAAATCTAACCCCAACGAACCAAAACTTTTTCCTCAAACCACAAAAGTTTGACCCCACGAAAATATGTGATTTTACAGTAGCTACACGTATTAAGTCAAAAGATGTAACTAAAATAAAAAGAATAAGTAAAATCAAAATATTATTTTTTATCTCACTTTTATTTCTGTAACTTACATTCACGTTATTTTTTCTTTAAAAAAAATTACAGTACCATAAAGGTTAGACAGCTTAAAAAATGATTACTTTTACTTAAACCTAAATTTTCTGAAAAGAAATGAAAATAATATTATTTTAACCATAAGCTAAATCCACATTTTACAAAAAAGTGTATTTTTCAATGAATCATATTAGGAATCCAGAGAACGTGGTGAAAGGAGCAGTACTGTCGGTATTATAACCAGTTCCAGAATAATGTTTGACCCACACTCGATCCCTTTTTTGAAGCCTTAATACCGCTAGGTTAGGTCCTGCTGAGTTATACATGTATCCACTGTAACCATATGCCAATGTTGTGACTTTAGTGGAGCCATTTAGCACTAAATATGTGTATATAGTATTAGAACCATAAGCTTGAACATTCACAAAGAAAACAAAGTGTCCGTCTACAGGAGATGTGAAGACACCAGTACTGGAGTCGTACCCTCCTCCTATGTTGTAGACGATCCTGTCAAACACCAGTGTACCGCTGCTCCAGGAGCCGCTGCCTGAACTCACACCGGCCGTAAAGGCTACCTTTTTGGTTATATCTGTAATTTAAGGTTCAATAAATTAGTATTTTAATGTTTTCATATATTGTAATGTATATATTTTTTTAAAAATCAGCATTTGCTGAAAGTACAAACTACTTGTATATTTTAAAGTAGCAATGCCAGAATACATACTGGTAATTCGTCGATAAACGTCTCTTATCTGATCGTCAAATTGTGTAGTCAATGTTGTATTGAGTTTGTCCGTCTTAGAATGGACATCCATTAGTGACAAGCTTGTGTATCGCATCTGAACCTTTATATCGTGTAAGTTGTTCATTGAATCGGTGAGCTGTAGAGTTAAGTTTTTGTCATACTCTTCATTTGCAATCAAAACATTGTGAACTTCATTGAGTCTTCGAGTTAAATTCTTATTCTGCTTGTCACAAATCACAATATTATCCTCAGCTTCATTCAGTCGCAGAGTTAGATTTTTGTCACTCTCATTATTTGCGGTCAGAACATCATAAATTTCATTGAGTCGTTGAGTGACGTTTTTCCCCTGGTTGTCATATTTTACCAAAATATTCTCTACTTCATTAAGTCGTTGAGTGAGGTTTTTAGCCTGCTTTTCGTTTATCACTAAATTGTTCACTACTTCATCAAGTCGTTTTGTTAAGTTCTTGTTTTGCTTCTCACATATCGCGATATCATTTTTCGCTTCGTTGAGTTGCTGTGTTAGATTTTTGTCGTATTCCTCATTTGCCGCCAAAGTTTGAACTATTTGTTTTGTGCTTCTTAAATACGCCATTAATACCTCATTGGAAGGAGGTTTAGACGCATTTAATTTATTCAGTTCCGCTTCCAAGGAGAATACTTTGTTCTGAAGCAATCTTTTTTCTTCACCAAGAACGTTTGTTTGTCTCCTAAGATATTCCATCTCAGTAGTCAGGTTCAGAACCATTTGCTTGATTTCCGCCTCATCGGCATTGTGTCCACTTGACCCATGGGTTGTGTCGCTTCCATTAGAATTGCCATGCACTAACAATGCATAACTGTCTCCAGCATTAAGCAGAAATATTAAAATCATAACGTAAAACGTATTTTGAAATCGCATTTTAAAAGATTTACTTGGTCTTGTTTTTCTCGAAAACAGTTTGTTGAACATCTCCTGTCTTGTATTGACATATAAGTATTAATTCTTCTTTACGAATCAGATTTTATGCTACTCTTAAAGGGAAAAGATTTGGATTTAAGAAATCCAGGTTTCTAGGTTATTATACCATGAATCTGTGATGACATTATCATCTTTGTTCCGGAAACAAGCAGTTGTAAATTTATTTTTGATAAAATCCTCCTTCACTAAAGACATTTTAAAGGACTTTTTGGTATCTATCAGTTTATCTTATCGAAAAGCGCAGTTGAAGTGTATTCTTGCGATATTGTATTGCAAAGATTCAAACTTACTAGTACTTTGCAGGGGATTGAATTAAATTGATTATACAGTTGAAATTGAATATAGAAACATCGTTCTAATATCTAGATCAAATAAACGTACGTAGTGAATCGTTATAAAGTGCTAACTCCTTCAGGCCTGTACTTAAGTTTAACCTGAATTTTTATGTCAGTATACACTGTATTGGGGAAGTCTTTATAAATGTATGGTTGTGTTCCTTCATTAACTACTGTAAGTGTGTTTAAAAAAAAACGGGCTTCATATTTTAGTGGCTTTGGTACTGACAGTAATCCGCTTATGCATGAATAAATCATTGAAAATAAAATATACTGCGCGGACGGATTTAGCTCTAATACATGACTATGCCAACCATTCAGTGATTGCGCTAAATTTTGAATACTTAAGAAATGAATTTTATTTTTTGAAGATTCATGAGGTCATGAACTACGACGCTTCACGCGTTAGCGCTTCATGATAAATATGCCGGCGTGAAGCGTTGTAGTTCATATACCTCATGAATCTTCAAAAAATTAAATTCATTTCTTATATTTACATTATTTTTCTGATGACTTGCCATAAATTTATGCCGTTCAACTGTCATTTTTAAAACAAAACTGTGTGCACTATATTTTTTGACGTCAAGAGCGGTATTATGACGTAACAATGGAGATATTCATACTTATTCGTGATACATACCTAATGTAGTTCATGAGAAAATATACAGCATTTTATTTTGTAAAGAATCGTAAGGGAAATTTATTGGAAATGTAAATATTTCAATTTTTGTATACGTACAATAATTTCTTGTCATATAAATTCTGTTCTCCCAACAATTTAAATATATTTCTCATTGTCACTCCAGTCCGCTTTGAGTGGTGTCGGATTAACACCCGTGGAACAGGCGTGTTTGTTGCAGTTTTGCTTTGGAAAATTGTATTGAATATAAAAGAAAAATCCATATGATCAAATTTGGAGATTGCTGAACTTAGCGTGCAGAAAGCCCACTAGCTTCAGATATATAAAAATCATATTCAAATTGTGAATTTAGTATTTAGAGTAAAGTTCTTATCATTGTTTTTTTACGAAATCATGATAAAAATGTTTTGAGGAATTTTGTTTACTAAAATTTATTCTTTTATGAACAAAAAAAAAATAATGTGGTATCCATTGGGTTCGAACTCTGGCAATAAAAATCCTGAGTTGCATTCTCTAATGAGACCAGCACGCTATCCACTACGCTACACAAGTCCTGTTGAAGTGTGGCATTTAAATCATGTTTGTGATATGACCATTGACTTAAGGGACTTCAAGTATTTCTTAAAAAGATACGAAAGTTATGTCATAAAATTATATTTTTAAGGTATAGTGGGTCATTGCTCCATAATTTTGGAAACCAATATATGTATGTTTGTATGCAAACTTCGAGGATTAACTCTCAAAAAAATGGAGAGAAGACCCACTCATATCGAAAATAGTGTTATAGTGTGAAAAAATGACTCGTTTTGTCCTCTTTCGTGTGTGTACAGTATTTCATAAGCAAATAACTTCAACCTTCATGAAATTTGTGGGAGTTGTGGAGATTTTACATAAAGTATACTTTAATGTTAGATGAAATATTAAGGAAAATTTTGATATAATTGAGATTTAATTTTTCACCTTCATGTTTGTTGCGCTATAGGCTTATCTCACGTCATGTTCACCCATGTCCTTACAATCACATTTAAAAAAAAGACAAGTTTGATCAAGAATATGATGACTATATCCATTTGTTAGAAGTTATGAGAAGTAGCGAATTAATGACCATGTCGTAGAGACAAGGTTATGTATCTGTCCATGTCATTATACAACATCCGTACATGCATGTTAAAATTATTGATATGAATATGTCAATATGGTTGGCAATACGCTGCAAAACCATATTTATTATAGACTGCAGTTAAGTGTGAACTTTTAAGTTACGTCACGATCTAGTTTGACAGCTGCCCTCAAGGTAAATAGTACACGCCTCCTAACTGTAAGCTTTACGACTGTAAGTTTCTTCTAATCCCTGATAAATTGCTCGTGCAACAGACTATTTCCGTGTCAATTTGATTATATGAGTTGACCAATCACGTAAATTGTTTACGCTGGATCTGTCGAAAAAGATCGTGACGTAATGCAATGCTTCACACTACACTGAAATTAATAATAATTGCATTTTGTATTATGAGCAAAAAATATTAAAATACAAATATCCTACATGTACATTTGTTATTAGGAGCGCCTGGAAGCTCTTAAGAAGGAAAAATTAGAGGATTCTTCAAATGTGACCGTAGAGGACAGTAAAAAGTTACCTAAAGGACTCCACTCCCACTGGGGGGGGGGGGGGCTGAAGTCAGGCACAAACCCCGGCCAGCCATGACAGCGACTAATAAAAAGTCTAAAAAGAATGTACTCAAAAGGAAACCTGAGGAGACAAGTGTTTTTAGTTAAAAGGTGTGTATACTATAAATACTTATGTATGAAGATTTAAAAATGTCATCAATATATCAAATCAAAATTTTGATGGCTAAAGTGTAACTTTTCTCCAGAGAAACCACCTAGTAATAATTAACTGAAGGTCATTTTTAGCTCACTTCAACGAAGTTGGGGGAGCTTATGTAATACCTCGGTGTCTATGTCAGCGTCGGTGTCGGCGTCGCTGTCAGCGTCCGGGGTTAAGGTTAAGTTTCTTGGAGCAGTTTTCTTTTTAAGTACTTCTATGTCCTATATTGATTAGACATGCATGGAAGATGTTTTTGGTGTGTTTCATTGTATCAGTCAAAGTTTCAGATGCTGCAGTTTCAGCAAAGTAATGACCAGGTTAATGTTTCTGGAGCAGGTTAACATTTTTGGTGCAGTTTTTGGTGTAGGTCTCATTTCCGAGGAACAATAAGCCCTATGTTGACCAAACTTGCATGGATATTATATCTAAGGATGCACACTACCAGGCTTGCTTCGGATGCTGAATCTGACCTACATTTTCCGCAAGAGTGAACACGTTAATGTTTTTGGTGCAGGTTTCAGTTCAAAGATGTTATGAGCCCTATAATGACAAAACTTGCATATATGGTACATCTTAGGAATCATACTACCAGACTAGCTTCGGATGCTGAATCTGACCTACATTTTCCAGTTGCGTGAACAGGTTAAAATTTTTGGTGCAGGTTTCATTTCCAAGTTACTATGAGCCCTATAATGACTAAACTAGCATGGATGTTACATCTTAGGAATCATACTACCAGACTAGCTTCGGATGCTGCATCTGATCTACATTTTCCGGATGAGTGAACAAGTTAAAGTTTTTAGTACAGGATTCATTTCCAAGTAACTTTGAGCTCTTTAATAACCAAACTTGCATGGATTATACATCTAAAGGTGCATTCTACCAGGGTGGCTTCGGATGCTGAATCCGACCTATATTTTCTGGATAAGTGAAAAGGTTAGTTTTTTAAACAGGTTTCATTTCCAAGTAACTTTGAGATCTATGTTGAGCAAACTTGCATGGATGATACATATTAAGATGCACTCTAGTGGACCTGCTTCAGATGCTGAATTCGAAATACATTTTCCAGATAATGGACCTTGCTGGTAAAAGTTATGGGTGCAGGTCTATTACCAAGAGACTTAAAGACTTATATAAACGAAACTTGCACAAATGATGCATCAAGGGAATGAATCTCTCAAACTTGCTTCAGATGCTGGATTTTAATTATGTTTTCATGATGATGAACTAGTTTGAAGTTTTTATATAGGTCTTCACCATAGTATTCAAATCAGAATTGCATAAAATTTTTGCATTTGTAAATTTGGATGTACACATTTTTTTGTGTGACTTTGCCTTACTTAAAGACAACATTCGTTGAGGTGAGCTCTGTAATCTCTGATTACATATGTTTCAAATATTATATAATTTGTGAAGCTTGAATTAAAAGTATTAGCCTATGGTTTAAGGTAACTTAACTTAAGGTAGCCTTAGCTCTAATAGTCACATGTACTTGATGATAAAAGAAAAGTTATTTATTTGCACTGTACAATTTCTTTTTACTTCAGGTCAAAACTGTTAAACCCAAGAAAAGGAAAATAGATGGTGTTGATGACTTTGATATGTTAGTGAATAAGTACAAGAAAAACTTATTAGGCAAATCCCAGAAATCAAAATGGTTTGATCGGTGATGATGAATTAATGTATAAAAAGAAAACAAGAAGATGAAGAAAAATGGTTACCACAAAATTTGATGTTGATTTGTATAAAAGTAAATTAAATACACTTTTAGAAAATCTATTTATTACATTTACAACAATGGAAAAAATTATTCCATTATTATGGCATACATTAGACTAATTTAATAATAAAACTAGGAAAATATCATCAAGCATTGATGATTTTTTAAATCCCATTATACGTTTTAAAATCATGTTAATAAACCGTTATTAACAACATCTATTTCTTAATTCTAACCTCTCTCATTTAATGAATGAAATTGAGAGGAATCTGATTATTAGAAAAAATAAAGAATACAAAATACCTACATGCATTAAGTCAAAAGATGTAATTAAAAAAAATATCAAACATGTTAAAGTAAAACCGAAATATGATTTTTTTTTTCTCACTTGTATTCCTTAATTCACATTCACGTAATTATATTATTTTATGTAAATCCACTGACAATAGTTTACCAGGTAACTCTGTTTGATACGAAGAAACAAAAATAAGATTCTGTGAATTGAAAAATGCCATTTATTTACATTATAAATGACTATATGAAAAAACACAGAATGTCATGCATATAAACATATAATGCCGAATCAGAAAAATTGAACAACTGAAAGATACAATCAATTTTGTTTCAATAGATATCAAAGGTGGGGTATAAAAATTCGCAGACACCACAATCTCACATATTTATCAAAATAAACATAAAAGTGAGCAACTATTCTAAGATAACACGTATCATACAAAACCATTCAAAGATAACTATGCTGACACGGCAGTTATTACAGATGGTGTTCGGGGCATACTGTAAAACCTGGCCTGGCCCCTTTGGCTTGGCCTGGCCTCTAAGTTGGCCTGGTCTCTATTTTGGCCTCTAATTTGGCTTCAAACCAAATTTTGGCCTGGCCTCTAAAGTTGGCCTTGCCTCAAATTTGGCCTCTGTAAAAATTTTTGGCCTCAATTTTGGCCTCACTCAAAAATAATTTCTTTTTCAGAATTTGATTGATTTGAATGATTTTTTTTTATTGGTTTCATTTTTTCAAAGATTAAGCAAGTAAATAATATATTTCTTTTGATATGTAAATGTGAACATTAAAAGTAATCAAGTACTGCCACCAATATGATTTATTTTATTGATTTTCAATCGGTCAGTGTTCACTTATTTCATTTTATGATTTGATGACTGGTATTTCATACTGACACACTACCGACACTATTGCTTAATTATTTAGGAAAAAAAAGTATCACTGTTTATTTTGTGTTTTCCATATTGTGTACATTGAAAAAATCTCTAGTAATAATTCATGTCAGATGTTTGAAAAATTCCACTTGTTAAGTGATGAATCATCACCTTTCACACACTGTAGAGTCTTGTGTTTCTGTTAATATGCCTGCATTATCTTAAATGTGATATATGAATACAGGCACTTAAGAACTTTTAATAAAATATACTACCACATACCAATGCAGATACCAAAATATTTAAATTATACTGATTTGATTACTCTGTTAAAAATTCATAATTATGTACTTTAATCTCAGAACAGTTGGTATTTAAAAAATTAATATAAATAACATTTATCAGATAATTTGTAACTTTCTGCTCCTGTGCGGTAAACTATATTTGGATATCTAATGACAAAAAAATCTGCAGCATGGTTCTTGACAGGGAGTTAAGGTTGATGTTAATCAGTAATGAAATGTGTATGTGTATAGGATGTTAAGTCACCCATGATTTGTAAAGAATTTCCTGCTACAACTTTCACTACCTACAATTATCAAAACAAAAGTTGAGTTTGATGATAGTTTATTAACATTTGTGCTGTAAAGCAACTGAATCCTATCAATCAGACCATTAGAACCCTATCATATAAAATGTGGCCATGCAATTACTTGCATATCAAAGTATTGACACTTTTTCTATCAGTTTGTAAAAGTAGTTATCAAAAAGATTTTTTTTATTCTGAATAAAGACAGGTTTTAAAAAAATTGTAACAAGTAATACTTAAAATAGCAAATTTTACCTAAAATCTCTTTATAGAGGAAATAAATGATGAATAAATGAATGAATGAACCAATCCTACCATGGAAAAAAAAAATAAAGGCACATAAACTAAATCATTAAGATACATGCAGTATCTTATTGAAAATAAAACTATATGCTCTGTGTCTTCAGAATTGCAACTGATCAATAGAAAATCAATAAAATAAATCATATTGGTGGTAGTACATGATTACTTTTAATGTTTACATTTACATATCAACAGAAATATATTATTTACCTGCTTAATCTTTAAAAAAATGAAACCAATAAAAATATCAATCAAATCAATCAAATTCTGAAAAAGAAATTATTTTTGAGTGAGGCCAAAATTGAGGCCAAAAATTTTTACAGAGGCCAAATTTGAGGCCAGGCCAACTCCAGGCCAAAATTTGGTTTGAAGCCAAGTTAGAGGCCAAAATAGAGGCCAGGCCAGGCCAAAGGGGCCAGGCCAGGTTTTAGAGTATGCCGGTGTTGGGGCGGGACGGAGGGCAATTAAAATTACAGTAGAATTTTTGTTTGCGCGTTCACTGACAAGGCTCCGTGAGGGAATGGTGAAAGTCGTGAGAACCCGCGCGCATATCTTAGCATCCGACGGCCGAGCCTATAAATCAAATCAATTTACAGAGAATTCTTCGAGAATTACTTAAATCACGGATAAGAATTTTTGGGATTTAGAAACTTAATTGCTAACATGGGTCTGCCGTGTCAGATGTTTTACATAAATTAATTTAAGGATGTAAATTAAATATTTTTTATTTTCAAAAACAATATACAGTACCATCAAGGTTAGACAGCTTAAAAAGTAATACTTTTTCTTAAACCTAAATTATCTGAAAAGATATGATAATGATATGAATTTAAATATAAGCGAAAACTACAACTCATAAAAAGTACATTTTTCAATGAATCATATTAGGAATCCAGAGAACGTGGTGACAGGAGGATCACCTGTTGTATAATAACCAGTTCCAGAGTAATATTTAACCCAAAGTCGATCCCCTTTAGTAAGCCTTAATACCACCAAGTTCGGTCCTGCATCGTTATAAATATTCATTACCCGAACTATTTGCTATTGTTGTAACTTTAGCTGAACCGTTAAGAACTAAATATGTGTCTATTGAGTCTGTGCTATAAGCTTGGACGTTGACAAAGAAAACAAAGTGTCCGTCTACAGGAGATGTGAAGACACCAGTACTCGAGTCGTATCCTCCTCCTATGTTGTAGACGATCCTATCAAACACCAGTGTACCGCTGTTCCAGGAGTCGCTGGGAAACGTCACACCGACTGTAAAGGCTACTTTTTTGGTGATGTCTGCAATTTAAGGTTCAATGAATTTGATTTACATGTATATGTAATTTTTGTATGTTGTATATTTTAAAATCAGCATTGATCATTAGGTACATATGATAACTTTCGGTAATTTCTTGGGTGTGTTACACTGTTTCAATAATTTCTGGTAATAAGATACAGATTGTCTACCTGTGTTTAAGGATACATAATGTGTTTTTAAAACAATAAAAATTAAACTAAATAAATAATAAAAAAAAATTTCCAACGATTTTTGTTTACATAAATGTTCCTGTATACGGAACGTGTCTGAACTACTCTTACCTTAATATGATTTTAAAAATACTTGTATACTTAAAAAATAGTTATTCCAGAATACGTACTGGTTATTTGTCCACAAACGCCTCTAATTTGATCGTCAAAGTTTCTGGTTAAAGTTGTATTGAGTTGGTCCGTCTTAGAATGCACGTCCAGTAGTGACAAGCTTGTGTATCGCATCTGATCCTTTATATCGTGTAAGTTGTTCATTAAATCAGTGAGCTGTAGAGTTAGATTTTTGTCATACTCCTCATTTACAGTCCAAACATGGTGAACTTCTTTAAGTCTTTGATTTAAGTTCTTATTCTGCTTGTCACAAATCACAATATTATTCTCAGCCTCATTTAGTCGCAGAGTTAGATTTTTGTCATACTCCTTAAATGCAGTCAAAACATTGTGAATCCTTGAGTGAAGTTTTTCCCCTGCTTATCATATTTCACCAAAATATTCTCTACTTCATTGAGTCGTTGAGTAACGTTTTCATCCTGCTTTCCGTTTATCATCAAATTATTCACTACATCGTCAAGTCGTTTCGTTAAGTTCTTGTTTTGCTTGTCATAAATCGCCATATTATTCTCTGCATTATTCAGTCGTAGATTTAAGTTTTTGTCGTATTCCTCATTTGCCGCCAAGTCTGAACGATTTGTTTTGTGCTTCTTAAATACGCCATTAATTCATCATTGGAATGACGACGAAAATTTACTTATGTGTGCAAATTTACATATAAGTAAATATACACACGTAAGTGAAAATTAATTTGCTATGTGTTCAGACTAGATTTATGTGCTGTAAGTAAATCCTAATTTTTTCATATAAACATGATAAGCTAAGGAGATGGACAGATTCAGAAATGTGCTCTTATGTAGAAAAAGGGCATTTCCTTACTGTTTGGTCAAAAGACTAACTTTTAAATCTACCTCAAAGAACCTAGGGAGGTCCGTTACACTGATTTCTTGGTACAACTTAATTAAAGACTTTAAGGAGAAAGAATGGTATAAGAATGTACACAAAGGTAAACTTATCAAAATTATCAATATGAGCTGCAAGATTGACATGGGAAAATTTGTTGCAAATTTGTAATCAACTATTTCAATGATAGAAAAATAGAACAATTATAAACTCTAGTTGTTCATATTTGCGATGGAAGAACTTTTTATAAGGTTTAATTAAAGCAAAATGACATTATTGTCGTCCAGTGCATCACTGATTTCTTGTATAATGCTATATATTTGATTGTACAGAAACATTTCTTTTGAAACAATTTAAAAAGTTTACTTTGGTTTGATCATAAGGGATTTAATTATAAACAAAATAATCATAAGAACACATTTTAATAGCAAAATATTTTTCTCAAAAAAAAAAAAAAAAAATACAGCTTATATTGCTTTATTGTTGGAAAATGTTTTAGATTCCGTCTCAAAGATTGTAGAAGAGCCGTTGGGTGTAAAGAAAAAGGTGACTTTCCATCTACTAGTTGACGTCTTCGGAAGAAAAAGGGCCATTTAAAAATATTTTTGCTGTTGGGAAATCTACAATACATCAAGTGTGCGAGGCCATTATAAAATATCTGCTTGAATATTATATAATAATTATGTATTTTCCAGTGGAATGAAAAGGGCGAAAAAAATCTAACAGTGATTGATCTAAAAAATCTTCGAACAATAGAAGTATGTTAAAAGGAAATTAACACGAACCCCTGGACGTTCATGATGAGATCGGGTGCCAAGGAGGTTACTTGCCTACTTTCACTAGTTTATTGAAATTCCTTTAATATTAGCTTAAATATAAGTAACTTGCCTGAATTAAAAACAGAGAAAGGTAGAAGAAAGAACTAAACGATAATGGGGCCCGAGCGATTGATGGAATTCATGTTCCTATCATAGCTCTGGAGCTTTCCCAAGAAGAGAACTTGAATAGTAAGGACATTACTTATTGATCCTACAGGGCACTTGTTTGCGACAACAACTATATCTTTAGAGACATAAACATAGGTTTGCCAGAAAGGGTGCAAGATGCCATCGTTTTTGCAAATTCGAAAATTTATTTCGGAGGGATAATGGCACCTTGTTTAATAGTTTTCTTTTCTAGTCACCAAGTCGCCCGCGTCGCGCAGTGGTTAGAGCGTCTGCTATAAAGTCGCGAAGTAAGGAGTTGATCCTAAAGTGGCGGGTTCGAATCCCATTGTTGGACGTGGAGTCCTTCGGATGAGACCGTATATAAACCAAGGTCCCTTGTCGCAGTAGGTGCTGGCATGAAAAAGATCCCTCCCTGCTCAATAGCCCTGAGTACCAAGTATAGGACAAAAGTTGCAGATCTCTACCGGCAAGTGATTAGAGAAAAATTCTCGAGAGGGACGTTACACAATATACAATCAATCAATCAATCTAACCACCATGTTTACACAACCGAAACAACTCTTAAAATGGAAATTTATAAAATAAACTAAATAAAATACATACATAAGTAAATTTGCGTGTTCATAGGACACAATTTACACACATGAACTAATAATTTGCTACAAAGTGTCTGCAAAAGTTAATTTGCACCTAGTCCTGACTAGGTGTAAATTTACTCAACTGTCCAGAATTTGCATATGAGTATATCGGTTCATACGACAAAAATTGCACATGCATGTGTAAAATATACTGAGGTATGCAAATCATGTCGTATGAATGGGGTTTTAGACGCATTTAATTTATTCAGTTCCGCCTCCAAAGAGGATACTCTGTTTTGAAGCAATCTTTTTTCTTCACCAAGAATGATTGTTTGTCTCCTGAAATATTCCACCTCAAAAGTCAAGTTCAGAACCATTTGCTTGATATCCGCCATATCGGTATTGTGCCCACCTGATCCATGGATTGTGGCGCTTCCTTTTGAATTTCCGTGAATTAACAATGGAGACAAAAATAATAAAATGATAATGCTAAATGGACTTTGAAATCGCATTTTTGAAAGATTTATCCGGTCTTGTTTTTCTCGAAAACAGTTTGTCGTACCTCTCCAGGTTATGTTTGTATGAATGTATGAGTACAGTGTATTTTTTCTTGTGAATCAGATTATAAAGTTCTCTTAAGGGAAACAGATTTAAGAAATCCAGGTATTTAGGTTATTATACCGTTAGTCTGTGATTGCATTTTCATCTTTGTTCCTTAAATAAACATCTGCAAATAAATATATTTGATAAAAGTCCTTCTTCATCAAAGCCATTTAAAAGGACGTTTTTGGTTTCTATCAGTTTATCTTATCGAGAAACGCAATTCAAGTGGCTTCTTGCGACATTTTGTTGCAAAGATTCGAACTTATCTTACAGAAGATTAAACTGATAATACACTTGACACTGAATATATATATAAACGTCATTCCGATATCTAGATCAAATAGACTGTACGTAGTGAATCGTTATAGAGTATTCACTACTTCAGCATGCTCAGGCCTGTACTTATGTTTGAAAGGATTTTTTATCTAAGTATATACACTTTATTGTGTAAAACCTATGTTAATTTATGGCTGTGTTCTTTCAATATTTACTGTATGTGTGCTTAAAAAAAGAGAGCTTCGTGTTTTAGCGGCTTTGGTGCGGACAATAATTCGCTTATTCATGAATACCATTATATTAATATAAATCATTGCTAAATACAATATTCGGCGTGGACGGGTTTAGTTTTAAAACATGATAATGCTAATCATTTAGTGACTGCGCTTAGTTTTGAATACTTCAATTTATTACACAAACACTTATTTCTTCTCAAGAAAATTTAGTCCCCAATCAATTTAAATATGTTGTCATTGTCATTTCAGTTTGCTTTTGAATAGTGGTGAATTAACATCCATGGCAGGGGTTTGATTGTTGCACTTTTGTTTTGGAAAATTGTTTGAATAAAAAATAAAAACTGGTACTCGACATTTATGTCCATTGAGCAAAGGGTATCTTTATCGTGCCAGCATCTACCGCAACACGGAGCTTCGATTAAACAGCCGCTTCAGAAGGACCGGTTTCCACAACCCCCAGTGGGATTCAAAACCGTGACCTTAAAATCAACTCCTTGCTCCGTTGCTATAAAGCAAAGGCTTTTAATAGTGTGAAACATATTCAATATGTATGTTTGTTTATTGTTTAACGTCCTTGGTTTATACCAAACGCCCACGTCCCGCAGACGGATTCGAAACCTTAAAGATCAACCCTTCACTCGGTGACTATAAAGCAAACGTTTTTATCATTGTGCGAAATGTTAAATATGTTTATTTTTTGTTTAACGCCTCTCTCAAGAATTTTTACCCACATTGAGACGCCACCACTAGCCAGTGGAGACCAAGAATAGGGATCTTTTTTGTGCCAGCATCTTCTGTGACACGGGACCTCGGTTTATACGGTCTCATCTAAATTAAAGGACCGGTCGCCTCGTTTTACAGTGGGATTCGAACCCGCGACTTTAGCATTAACCCCTTACTTCTCGACTCTAGAGCAGACGCTCTACCACTGCATTACGCGGGCTTTTTCATGTAAATTTATTTCATGTGTTTCTTCTTTTGACATAAAACACGTGCTGTTACATGCTTGTGTTAGATACCATTCACAGAAAGAAGAAGTTGTGAGTTTATACCATTTTAATTTAAACTTAACATGTCATCAGCATATTCTGAAAGGTTCAGTAATACCAATAACACAAAATACTTTTTACCATTTTGCATGACAGTAATTTACAAACAACACAAACTTTTTTTTTCCGAAAAAGTACCATCCAGGTTACACATCGTTGAAAAAATATTATAACTCAATCCTAGTTTTTTTTTTAAGAGAAACTGAAATCATCGTTATATTTTAGATAAAGGCTAAATAGATTTTGATAACCTAATATTTTTGATAATTTATGAATCATATTAGGAGCCCAGAGAATGTTGTGATAGGAGCATCACCAGTGGTAAAATACCCAGCTCCATAGTAAAATGTGACCCAAACTCGATCCCCTGTAATAAGCCTCAATACCACCAAGTTCGGTCCTGCATTGTTATAATCATAAGTATAACCATTTGCCATCGTTTTGACTTTAGCTGAACCATTAAGAACTAAATATAAGTATATAGTACTAGAACCATAAGCTTGAACGTTGACAAAGAAAACAAAGTGTCCGTCTACAGGAGATGTGAAGACACCAGTACTTGAGTCGTATCCTCCTCCTATGTTGTAGACGATCCTATCAAACACCGGTGTACCGCTGCTCCAGGAGCTGCTGGATGACGTCACACCGGCCGTAAAAGGGACTTTTTTGGTTATATCGGCAATTTAAGGTTCAATTAATTAGTATTTTAATGTTTTCATATGTTGTAATGTATTTATATATATTTATAAATCAGCATTTGCTGAAGGTACATGTACATCTGATGTCTATTTTCTTGGGTATATTGTACTCACTGTTGTCAATAATTACCTGTAATTATTATTACAAAGATTGTCTGTTTGTTGTTTACTTATTAAGATATACGTATAGAACATTTTTTTTAAAAAAAAAGCTAAATAAATAATTTAGAAAAATAGGTAAATTCCAACGAATTTTTTTTTACATACTTGTATACACAACATGCATGTGTGATAAAAATTCAGTAAAGAAGCCATCTATGAAACTACCAAACAGTGATTAGAAAACTACTTGTATATTTTAGAGTAGCAATGCCAGAATACATACTGGCAATTCGTCCATAAACGTCTCTTATCTGATCGTCAAAATGTGTAGTCAATGTTGTATTGAGTTTGTCCGTCTTAGAATGCACGTCCAGTAGCAAGCTTGTATATCGCATCTGAACTTTTATATCGTGTAAGTTGTTCATTGAATCAGTGAGCTGTAGAGTTAGATTTTTACCATACTCTTTGTTTGCAATCAAAACATTGTGAACTTCATTAAGTCTTCGAGTTAAGTTCTTATTCTGCTTGTCACAAGTCACAATATTATTCTCAGCTTCATTTAGTCGCAGAGTTAGAATTTTGTCATACTCCTTATTTGCAGTCAAAACATTCTGAATTTCACTGAGTCCTTGAGTGAAGTTTTTCCCCTGCTTATCATGTTTCACCATAATATTCTCTACTTCATTGACATGTTGACTCGTTGAGTAACGTTTTCATCCTGCTTGTCGTTGATCATCAAATTATTTACTACTTCTTCAAGTCGGTGAGTTAATTTCTTATTCTGCTTCTCACTATTCACAATTTTATTCTCCGCTGCATTCAGTCTCACCGTTAGGTTATTGTCACATTCCTCATTTGCAATCAAAATTTTACGAATTTCTTTGAGTCCTTGAGTGACGTTTTTTCCCTGTTTATCAGATACCATCAAAATATTCTCTAATTCATTAAGTCGTTGAGTAATGTTTTGGTCTTGCTTTTCGTTTATCAACAAATTATTCACTACCTCGACAAGTCGTTGTGTTATGTTTTTGTTTTGCTGGCGACAAATCGCAATATTTTTATCCGCTTCGTTCAGTCTCAGATTTAGATTTTTGTCGTATTCCTCGTTTGCCACCAAAGTTTGAACTAATTGTTTTGTGCTTCTTAAATACGCCATTAGTTCATCAATGGAAGGGGGCTTCGATGCGTTTAGTTTATTTAGTTCCGCCTCCAAAGAGAATACTCTGTTTTGAAGCAATCTTTTTTCTTCACCAAGAATGTCTGTTAGTCTCCTGAGATATTCCACCTCAGTAGTCAAGTTCAAAACCATTTGCTTGATTTCCGCCTCATCGGCATTGTGTCCACTTGACCCATGGGCTGTGTCGCTTCCATTAGAATTTCCATGCACTAACAATGCATAACCGCCTCCAGTATATTAAGGTCAAGATCTAGTAAATAACTTGAGACTAATTTTTTGGTGCTAGATCCATTATGACGTCATAATCAATTTCAACTTTCTTTTTCCCGTACTTTACGGCTTTAGCAGAGTTATGTAGAAAATAGGGTATTTTCATGTCATTCAATTTGAAATCATATGAAAAGTAAACCGGATACCTATATTAAATTTGATATTGATTTAAAGAAGAGGCCATGAACATACTAATTACCGTTTTCTGAGAGACTGTAGGCAATCTGGGTACATTTTCTTTGCCGAATACGAAAAAAACTCCCATACTCATGACTGGTTTTCTTAATTTTTCATTGAAATTTACAGTTTAAAATACAGTTTTTCATCTTGTTTACCTACAAATTAAGCTCCGAAACACCTTAATTTGACCAAGCTAAAGTTGTAAAGCATCAATAAAGGAATTTATTTCTCACGTTTGATAAATCTGTAGGCACCTTTCATTTACTAGATCTTGACCTTAAGCAAATATATTAAAATCATAATATAAACAGGATTCTGGATTTCCATTTTGAAAGATTTAGGTGGTCTTGAATTTCTTGAAAGCAGTTTATCGCATCTCCTGTCTTCCTTGTATATCGTCTTGCGAATGCGATTATATACGCCTTTAACAATCCAGGATAAAAGATAAGAAATATCCAGAATCTGAGTATTACTGAGCATATGTTATTAATCTCTGATGGCTTTTTATATAAAATATTTGTTCTTGAAGAAATGCACCTTTAATATGTACATAAGATGAAAGTCCTCGCCCATCGAAGAACTTGATAGGACATTGTTTGGTTTCTATCAAGTTATTTTAATAAAAAAGATTTAAGTGATTTGTTGCTATATTTTTTGGTAAAAATGAAAATTTATTGAAAGTGACATTCTTATAAAATAGACCTGTTGCACGAGGACAGGTAACAGGTGTTTGATTTGATTACTTTTAATATGTTTTATATATACAGTATTAAAGTAATCACTTTCATTTAGTCCTTTTAGTCCTTTGGGCCTTTAGCGTTTGATTTTCGTAGTTAAGAAATCTACAAAAATATAATCTAAATAATCTAATTCAAGACTACACTATTTCGCACAAATTATTTATGCTGGTTTAAAGGTGTTTACCGGCAGTTTCGTCAAAACTGTTTTTTGGACATTAAGGAATTCCTAGTTGTGCAACAAACCCATTCAATTTTTATTTTAGTTCAGAGTGGGGAGGCGGCGGATGCTATTTATTTAAGGTAGAGTTTTTTTACAGTTCAAATCTAAAGCAGATACAGAAAAATTCAGAGCAGCTGCAGAAGATGGAGAGGTAAATAAGAAAGTTTTCTGAGAACGTTATGTGTATCAGTCATACAGGAAAATTTGTGCATGGGTAAAACATATTCGCCCTAAATTACATGTTCATCTTTTTTTAATAGTAGGTAATGATAATATATTATCAAGCATTGTCAGTCATTAGGATGACAAAGTGACATGTTGTCAAGGAGGGTTCACTGAAATGCTGTTTCACTTTGTACCAAGTTTTGTAAAATGATGTATGCATAATTTTTTTTTATATGAGAAAGGTAATTACCTCCATTTCAGATTTCAAAGAGAATTCCTTTTACTGATTCCTATGAGTTTGTTGAATTATTAAGAAGAATAACCTCACACCTGTAAGATCTGTTCATTTGATTTCTGTACACCTGTACTTTTTTCTCAATCATTCACTGTGATTTTGTTCAGGAGGGCATCAATGTTCATGGTCGGAGACTAAATGTCATAGTTGCTGTGGAGAGGGAAAAGGCTCAAGATTTATCAGGTCAAAAGTCAAAGGTCAAAGAGGACAAGAGAAATCTCCATCTTGTTAGAGAAGGGAGTAAGTATTAAACAGCTGATCCTAAAGAAAAGGAAAATGTACATGATTATAACCAGTGCTAGATTTTGACAATAAAATATGATACATGTAGATGCATACATGTATGTGAAGTGTTCAATATATTTCACATGTGGTTAATTTGATATTTATTGGGTTTGCAAAAAAAAAAACAAAAAAAAAAAAAAAAAAAAAAAAAAAAAAAAAAAAAAAAAAAAAAAAAAAAAAAAAGTTTTTAATTTATAAAAAAAACATTCAGTCATTCATTTTATAAAATAATTCAAAAGGGAAAATAAAGAAATTTTAATTTTAATTAATTTACCTTGTATTAGAATTTGTAAGAAAAAATGTTCAAGTGTTCTTGTAGGAAAAATTGTATTATTTGAAAAGTGTCAAGACATATGCCCTTGAATATCAATCTTTGTATTTTCTTTCATTGATTCGTCCAGGGATACAGGCAGCTGTAGGACTCTCCAAGGAGGATCTTTTGAAAAGGACAAATGTATGATAAATAAGTCAGTTGCTTGTTCTAAAGTTGCTAAAAATGAACCCCAAATCAGGTTAATAGATTAATTTAAACCATGACAGGTAAGAAAAATGGAAATAAATTGCACTTTGTTTAATTTTGGGATATATTTATATTTAGTTGGAGAATGTCAAGCGTGCCAAGTTGAAGAATCCCAACATCTTTGTGTCGACCACCAGACTGAGTGTCCACAACATCCCAACACAAGTGACGGAGAAGCAGCTGAAAAATGTCTTCTTGAGGGCAGCAGAAAGCAAGGCAGCAGTTATTACTGAGGTATACTAAGGGCTTATCCATACTGAATTAATAAACTTGATTACAATTTAAGATAAACTGCAATTTGTAATCAGCATCCTGTTTGCAATTCAATTTGGTTTTTTAACATTATCATCATTGTGACTTTATTGTGCATGATATCTTCTGTTTAAGCTTTTAGTAGTAACTGTACCTGATGTGGACATGATGCTAACCTATCCAAATTAACCTGTTAAAGTTGATTGTTTCTTGGTGTCATAATTGTTTAAAGGCTGAATATACTGTATAATAGTAATCAGAAGTTCTTTATAAACTTTAAATCAGTTTAACAATTCAATGACATAGGTTTTAGCTGTTGTTTGTATTCATATGTGTGATCCAGCCAGAAAACTACAATAAATATAAAAAAAACACATAAAAGTAATGTGAATATATCAATATGGAGATAAAAGTGAATTATTCATGAATAAAATAGGAGGTAGAAATGTGTCTTAATGCAAATTTAGTTTGAAACCATTTTCATTATACGTAAATTTTATTGTATGACTTAAATAGTGAAAGAACAGGTTTCATTATTACCATAATGTATTATGTGTATTCTTAAATTGACATGTCAGTGTCGAATTATGCGAGATTTAGAAAGAATGAACAGCAAGAAGGTAGGAAAGTTGCGAGGCTATGCCTTTGTGAACTTCACTTGTCATCAACATGCTGTGAATGCCCTCAGAAACACCAATAATGACGCTGATTTGTTTGGCGAGAATAAGGTATCTTGATTATTAAGACTATAAAAATAAATGTATATTGCTTTCCAAATTTCTTTTTAAAGACACTTATTCTACCTACCATCATATCTTGATGCACAGATTCATGTATACTTTGAATAATTAAAAAATAAGAGAAACATCTCTTAAAACGAACCAAGATAGATTTTTTTTTCTGAATTATTTTATACATATGTTGTTTTGACAGAGGTTGATTGTTGAATTTTCACTGGAAAATAAAGTAGCTCTACAGGCCACAGAGAAACGACTGGAGAGACAAAAGGTATCAATCAAATATATTACCTACTACCTGTACTGCCCACTTCCCCTGTTGGACTTAGGGTTGCTATAATATTATTGTGCCTTTGTCATTATGATTCCTTACTTCAGACACATACTTGATAAAAAGAAATTATGTGGTCAACAGCTTATGCCTGCTTTGTTTATTTTCTAATAATTTAATTCTGGTTGTAACGCTGTATTTGATTGGATAAAAAATTTACTTAATATCGTATAAAATGGGTTGCCTACGTCACAATGAATTACGTCAAAAACATATCAATCCGCCTGACGTTACATTCAATTTTTGTACAAATTGAAGTCATTTTGTTAGAACAATTTTCTTACATCAAATGAATGAAAATTAAATTTTAAGCAATGAATAGCTACCCATTTTATACGGTATAAACTGGTTTGGAACAGTTTACGCTTTTTTTTTTATAAAAGGATATAAATGGCTTCTCGGTTTCTAAAGCTTAAACTGCCCCAACCCAGTTTATACCGTATAAAATGGGTAGCTATTAAATTTATTCCTTAATTAAACTTAATAGGAGGTTTATTTTCTGTGAGATGCAATATGAGGAAACAAGGGGTTTTTTTTGTTCAAAATTTGTGGAATTGCATTTTTTATCATGCACAAAAAGCTTTAAAATACAAATATTCAAAGTGTACATATGTTAATAGGGGCGCCTGGAAGCTCTGAAGAAGGGAAAATCAAAGGATTCTTTGAAAGAGACCATGGAGAAGAAATCAAAAAAAGCAGCAGAAATCCCAGGGCCCGAAAATGATGGACAAGTTTATAGGAAGTCTCCCAGTGGTAGAGGATGGGAAAAAATTACCTAAATGCCTTCCCTCCCACTGGGGGGCTAAAGTAAGGCACAAACCCCGGCCAGCCTTGACGACGAATAATAAAAAGTATAAAAAGAATGTACTCAGAAGGAAACCTGAGGAAACCAGTGTACTTAGTGAAAAGGTGTGTATACTACAAATACTTATGTATGGAGACTTAAGAATGTCAAAAAAAGTTTAAATTAAAATCTTGATGAATAAAGTGTAACTTTTGTTTCTCCCTCTTCAGAGAAACCACCCATTATAATAATGACTTTTGCAGTTAAGCTTTTTATCGTTTTATATTTGAGTCGTTGTGCAAAAGACAATTAAAAAAATGATCTTAATTTTTCCAAATATTATTTGATTTGTGATGCATAAATTAAAAGAATAAGTCTATGGTTTGAAGTAACAAGAGGCCCATGGGCCACATCGCTCACCTGAGAAGCTTTGACCATTCTGTTCTTTACCATATTTCCCCCTTGTAATACTTATTGTGACCCCATCCTCCCCCACTGATTATAATATAGACAATTTAAAATCTACACTACCCCCAGGATGCTTCCACATAAGTTTCAGCTTTTGTTGCCCAGTGGTTCTTCAGAAGAAGATTTTTAAAGATTTTTCTTAAATATTTCTATGTAAAATTTTGATTCCCCATTGTGGCCCCGCCCTACCCCCACGGGGTTATGATTTGAACAATTTAGAATTTATACTACCCAAGGATGCTTCCACATAAGTTTCAGCTTTTCTGGCCCAGTGGTTCTTTCAGAAGATTTTTAAAGATTTTTCCTATATATTTCTTTGTAAAACTTTGATTCTCCATTGTGGCCCTGCCCTACCCCAGGGGGTCATGATTTGAACAATTTAGAATCAACACTACCCCAACATGCTTTCACATAAGTTTCAGCTTTTCTGGCTCAGTGGTTCTTGAGAAGAAGATTTTTTAATGACCCCACCCTATTTTTGTCTTTTCTTGATTATCTCCCACTTGGCCCTTCATTTTAAGAATTTGAATTTCCCTTTACCGAAGGATGCTTTGTACCAAGTTTGGTCAAATTTGACTCAGTGGTTCTTGAGAAGAAGTCGAAAATGTGAAAAGTTTACAGACGGACGGACAGACTGACGGACAACAGACAAAATGTGATCAGAAAAGCTCACTTGAGCCATCGTCTCAGGTAAGCTAAAAAGTCTTAATTCTACTAGCCATAGATACTTGATGCTAGAAAGAAAAGTTGTTATTTATTTGCACTGTACATGCCTTCTTTTTACTTCAGGTCAAGACTGTGAAACCCAAGAAAAGGAAAATGGATGGTGTTGATGACTTTGATATGTTGGTGAATAAGTACAAGAAAAACATGTTAGGCAAATCCCAGAAATCAAAATGGTTTGATCGGTGATGACGGACATACATATTTATATACAATCATGTATTTATATATAAAAGAAACAAAGAAGAAGTAGAATGGTTACAGCAAACTTTAAGGTTGACTTGTACAAAAGAAAATAAATATGCTTAAAAAAAGAAAAATTCTTGTGCATTTGCATGGTCACAAAAATTTGTTATGATTAAGAGTCAGGTGATGCATATTAGTTAAGATGCCTTAGATGTTACTAATGACTGTAGTAAACAAATAAGTGATTTCATATTTAGTTTAAAATCTCTGGAAGAGGTTCATCACGAATAGGTTACAAACTAGCTGCAGAACTGTAGCTCTCTGCTTGAGAAAATTTGGACAGATAAAGCAGAGAGCTACAGGTCCATGCGTTGTGAAAACCTTCGATTTACGCAGACTATTTTTTGTTGCTCACTTCAGGAACATAACTTATATTTTATGCTTTTTCGAGCTTTATAAATGATATCCAATAATTAACAATACATTTAAATCTTATTACTAAATGTTTATTTGCCTTTCAATGGTTCAAGAAGGGCCGTTTGTGTATGTAGACATAGAAATGGGAATCTTTTAAAACAACATTCCTAATCCACAGAGGACTGTTTTGGGTCATTGAAAGGTAAATAAAGTATCAATAATTAAAGTAAAATATACAATTAATTTTCGGATACAATTCTAAGAGCATACAAAAGTAAAAACTATAAGAAATAATACAGTATCTGAAAGGAGCAACAAAAAATCTGCAACGTAAATTGAAGATTTTTACAATTTTTACACATGGATCTGTATCTCTTGGCTTTATTTGTTAAAAATTTCACATGCAGAGAGTTAGAAACCAAAATTTGTGAGAAAATAAAGGCTGGAGATACTTATTTTGAAGCTTCCTTAGTGGCATACATAAATGTCAATTTCTCATTTGAAAGCTCTAAGAGTAAGCTGTTTTCTTTTTTGTAAATTTATATAAACTTATATAATTTACGATTTTTATTAATTACATTTCATGAATGAAACTGAGAGGGATCTGATTATTAAAAACAATTAAAGGATACAAAATAGGTACATGTTTTAAGTCAAGAGATAGAAATAAATAAGTTTATATGCAATAATACAAAATTATATGATATAAAATATATTTTTCCCCCCAATTTTATGCCGTTATTTCACGATTTTTTTTCTCTCAGAAACAATTAAAATTTCCATCAAGGTTAGACATGAACAATAAGCTAAAACTATAACTTACAAAAAGTACATTTTTCAATTAATCATATTAGGAATCCAGAAAACGTGGTTAGAGGAGCATCACTCTGGGTATAATACCCAGTTCCACCGAAATGTTTGACCCATACGCGATCTCCTTTTTGAAGCCTTAACACCACCAAGTTTGGTCCTGAATCGTAATTGTCACTACTACCATATGCCATCGTTGTGACTTTAGCGGAGCCATTTAGCACTATATATGTGTATATTGTGTTTGAGCCAGGAGCTTGAACGTTTATAAAGAAAACAAAGTGTCCGTCTACAGGTGATGTGAAGACACCAGTACTGGAGTCGTACCCTCCTCCTATGTTGTAGACGATCAAATCAAAAACCAGTGTACCGCTGTTCCAGGTGGTGCTGGTTGACGTCACACCGGCCGTAAAGGCTACTTTTTCGGTGATGTCTGAAATTTAAAGTGATATTAATAAATTTGTATTTTTTTAATATGCTACAATAAATTGCATATACATGTATATAATATATACTGCCTAAAACCTAAGAAATATTACAATTGTGGAAGTCTTGTAATGAATATATTGCATTGTCAATTGCGAATTAATTCTAGTTATTTTGAAAAATGCTGACTTATTGAATCATTTTTTAAAGGAATTAAATGATGATGAAAGTTGTGACATGTGGGGATATAGTTCAGAAACTTCATATCACTTTTTAATGAAATGTCCAAAATATTGTATGCAAGGCAGAATCTTATGCAAAACTATATAGTACTTTGCAATTACCAATGCCGTTATCCTTACAACTTATTTTGAATGGAGACAGTATTCTTACTTACAACCAAAATATTGAAGTATTTAAACTTGTTCAAGAACTTGTTGCAACTACGAAGAGATTTGCATAATATTTTTTTCTTTAGTTTTTAAATTGTCAAACCACAGAACCAACTTCTATTGAAATTATGTTTTCTTATTAATTTTTTCAAATTTATAGACTTATTAATATAATTGTCAGTCATTTGTTAGAATGCAAACTTGATTTTATATCATCATCTCATTTATATATTTTTTTCTTCTAAACTGCCTTTTTATATACATTACTATTCAATGTACGCATGTATAACATTTATATTTTTCAATCTTTTGTAGCAAATTTACTTGTACGTGTATGACCTTGATCTTTGTATCATGGAGAGGACTTAAATAGGTAGTACCCGCTGTCCAATCCTGTTATGTTTATTCATAATAAAATATTGTTTAAATACATATATTTACAATTCCAATGTCTATGTCCGATATAAAATTACAAATTGTAAATGTACTTTATTTCCCCATCAATGTATTGGCGCGGTACAAAAAAAAAGCACGTGCAGGGCGGAACAAATAGCTAGACAGACGCAGAGCTTAAAGCACGTGAATTGGCGAAATAAAAGCATGTAAATATAAGGATCAGATTTTTCAATTTCAAGACGATGATCAATCGATTGGCTTGCGCGTGATAATTTTATGCATAAACGCCTTCGGCGTTTATGCAAATTATCACGCAACCCAATCGATTGATCACATCATGAAATCGAAAAATAAGACAGTTATTCCTTAAATAAAAAGTTAAGAAAAGTGAATTCCAACAATTTTTTTAAACATGCATCTATATGTATATTTAACGAAAAAAATCTTTAAAGCAGCCCTCTTTCAAACTACTTTACAAGGATTTTAAAACTATTTGTTATATTATTTTAGAAATAGCTAGCAATGCTAGAATACATACTGGTTATTCGTCCATAGACGTCCCTTATCTGATCGTCAAAATGTGTAGTTAATGTTGTATTGAGTTTATCCGTCTTAGAATGCACATCCATAAGTGACAAGCTTGTGTATCGCATCTGAACCTTTATATCACGTAAGTTGTTCAACGAATCTGTGAGCTGTAAAGTTAAATTTTTGTCATACTCTTTATTTGCAGTCAAAACATTATGAATGTCATTGAGTCGTTGAGTGACGTTTTTCCCCTGCTTATCATATTTCGCCAAAATATTCTGTACTTCATTAAGTTGTTGAGTGAGGTTTTTATCCTGCTTTTCGTTTATCACTAAATTGTTCACTACTTCATCAAGCCGTTTTGTTAAGTTCTTGTTTTGCTTCTCACAAATCGCGATATTACTTTTTGCTTCGTTGAGTTGCTGTGTTAGATTTTTGTCGTATTCCTCATTTGCCGCCAAAGTTTGAACTATTTGTTTTGTGCTTCTTAAATACGCCATTAATTCCTCATTGGAAGGAGGTTTAGACGCATTTAATTTACTAAGTTCCGCTTCCAAGGAAAATACTCTGTTCTGAAGCAATCTTTTTTCTTCACCAAGAACGTTTGTTGTCCCCCGCTTGAAAAGTGGGGATATTAATTGGGTTTGTCCGTCCGTCCGTCCGTCTTTCTGTCTGTCTGTAACGCTTTCGTTTCCACACGATATCTCGAGAACCCTTTGAGCTTTTGCAATGAAATTTAGCATAGCAACTCCCTGTGGAATAAAGAAGACCCCTATTGATTTTGAGGTCAAAAGGTCAAAGGTCAAGGTCATAAATAAGCAAATTCCGTCAGTTAAAACACTTTCGTTTCCACACGATATCTCTAGAACCATTTGAGCTATTGCTATGAAATTTAATATAACAACTCCCTGTGACCTAATGAAGACCTCTATTGATTTTGAGGTCAAAAGGTCAAAGTTCAAGGTCGTAAATTTGTACATTCTGTCTGTGTGAAATACTTTTATTTCCGGGCGATATTTCAAGAAGATTTTGAGCTTATGCAATGTAATTTTATATCAAAACTCCCTAGGACATCTCTAGCCCCTATCAAAGTGCCCCGCCCGTTTGTTTTATTAATATTTATAGTATTACATGTCGCTATTTTTAACGCAGGGGCGTGAGGAGAGTTATTGCGTATAAAACAGGTTCTCGGCGGACATCATGTTTTTAATACATCTATTAAAACTGTTTAATAAAGGCTAAATAAATCAAACACCATGGATTGTGTAAAATTTTGAGAACACCGAACATGAAAACATGAATATATACATGTATGTGACTTCACTTCTGCATATACTTCACACAGTGTAAAGCGACTCCGTGGTCTAGTGGTTAAGTCTCTTGCTTCTAGAGTGAGAGGTCCCGGGATCGAATCCCGGTCGAATCTTCCCCTTTTTTTTTTCTTTTACTAAATGATAGTATTCAGCATGTGAAATGAAAAATTTATGAGGTTATAAAATCATCATTACAGTGTGATAAAAATTCCATATAAAAAATCTTCTATGCACATAATGAAGAATAAGCAATCAAATCTTTATATGCATATACATTTAATAATTCTACACATTCAGTCAGGGGGAGTCTACTTTTCCCCTAAGCGGGGGACACAAATTCTCTGAATTAGCTTGTTTGTCTCTTAAGATATTCCATCTCAGTAGTCAGGTTCAGAACCATTTGCTTGATTTCGCCTACATCGGCACCTTGCCCACCTGACCAATGGTTTGTTTCGCTTCCATTAGAATTGCCATGCACTAACAATGCATAACCGTCTCCAGTATTAATCAAAAATATTAAAATTGACACGTAAAACAAATTTTGAATTCGCATTTTGAAAGATGGTCTTATTTTTCTCGAAGGCAGTGTGTCGTACCTCTCCTGTTTTGTATGAATATTATTTCTTCTTGCGAATCAGATTATATACGACTCTTAGGAAGGAAAAATTTGGATTCAAGAAATCCAGGTTTCTAGGTTATTATACAATGAATCTGTGATGACAAAAGCGTCATGTTCTTTAAATAAACAACTGCAAAATAAATACATTTGATAAAAATCCTTCTTCATCAAATACATTTAAAAGTACATTTTTTGGTTTCTATTAGTTTATCTTATCGAGAAACGCATTTCAAGTGGCTTCTTGCGATATTTTGTTGCAAAGATTCAAACTTACTTTACAGGGGATTGAATTAAATTGATTCTACACTTGACACTGATTATTTAAACATCATTCTCATATCTAAATCAAATAGACGTATGTAGTGAATTGTTATAAAGTATTTACTATTTCAGGCCTGTACTTATGTTTGAAATAAATTTTGTCAGTATATATACTGTATTGTGGGAAACCTATGTTAACTTATGGCTGCGTTCCTTCAATATTTACTGTATGTGTGCTTAAAAAAGCGTGCGTCATATTTTAGAGGCTTTGGTGCGGACAATAATTCGCTTACTTATGAATACCATTATAAAGGACAGATGATACAAACAGAAATGTTTTTTTTTGGTCTTATTTAATTGACAATGATGCAAATAACAAATTTCTAGAATATAATGATATTGTAAACCTTCTATGATGTTCAAAATTCCTTCTCACTGAAACCATCCTTATTAGTCTATACAAATCATTCTCACTTCAAATCCCATTTTTGTGAAACTTTGAATAAAAATTCAAAAACTACGCGGTGAAAGTTGTTCATTTTATAGATAAAAACATGACTAAAATTGGTATTTTCAAATTTTTTGACAAAAATTTGTTTGTATCATCTGTCCTTAAAATAATTCATTTAAATACAATACTGTATACAAGGTTATTTTCGCCAAGCTTTATTTTCGCCCTTTTACATGTGCAAACAATTTTGCCCTATTTTAAATTCGCCCAGTCAGAGTTTTGTTAAAGAAATTATTCTGTATTCTTTGAATTTGCCCCTTTAAAAATTCGCCCAGTCGAAGTTAGGGCGAAAGGGGCAAAAATAAAACGGGAGCGAATATTTCCCTGTGTACAGTATACGACGTGGACGGGTTTAGTTTTAAAACATGTTAATGCTAACCATTTAGTGATTGCGCTTAATTTTGAATACTTTAATTTATTTACACAAACACTGACTAGTCTTTCTTGTCCCCAAACTATCTAAATATGTTTGTCATTTCATTTCAGTTCACTTTTCAATGGTGGTGAATTAACATCCTCGGCAGGGGTTTGATTGTTTCACTTTTGTTTTGGACAATTGTTTGAACCCAAAAAAAAAAAATAATAAAGACCAGGTGAGTGTACTCGACACTCAGGGCCATTGAGCAAAGGGTATCTTTATCGTGCCAGCATCAACTGCAACATGGAGCTTCGATTAAACAGCCGCTTCAGAAGGACCGGTCTCCACATCCCGCAGTGGGATTCGAGATCTTAGCATCAACTCCCTACTCCGTTGCTATATAGCAAAGGTTTTAAGCACTGTGCAACATATTAAATATGTATGTTTGTTTATTGTTTAACGTCCTCGGTTTATACCGGTCTCCACGTCCCGCAGACGGACTGGAAACCGTAAAGATCTTTATTCAGTGACTATTAAGCAAACGTTTTAACAACTGTGTGACATTTTAAATATGTTTGTTTATTGTTTAACGTCCCTCTCAAGATTTTTTTACCCATATGGAGACGCCAACACTAACCAGTGGAGAGCTGCTAATATTGAACAAGAATAGGGATCTTTTTGTGCAAGCATCACGGGACCTCGGTTTATACGGTCTCATCTGAAGGACATTTTACAGACTTAATGGGATTCGAACCCGCGACGTAAGTATTGCAATGTGCGGGACCCGAGCGATCTCGGCCCGTACTTGGTTATGCCCAAGTCTTATAAGGACAATAGTAAATGCAAAATATACAGATATAGGGTACACTTGCCTAGTGTTAATTAAGTTTAAGCAATATATACAAATATAAAATACGCTTGTCTAGTGTATGATTAAACACAGTATATATAAACAGGTTCCTGCCACTTGGCTATATCAATGCCTCTTGGCTATAGTATACGAACGACTGACTATAACAACTTGGTTTGGCTAATCTCCAAAGCCACTTGCCTGTACCGGCCACTTGGCAATAGGGCAATAGGGCCACAAGGTACTCCTATCCACTTGACTAAGCAGTCTACTGCCTACACTAGATTTACCCGATTTATGCTACAAGTATCTCCTCGTACAACCGTTCACGGTAGCTCAGTCGGTAGAGCGCTCGCTCCGTGATCGGGAGGTCGTGAGTTCGTATCTCGGCTGCGACAGACCTAAGTCGATAAAAAAATGGATAGCAACTGTTCCTTCGCATTGCGCTTGGCACTTTGAAGCGGCAGGCGTTGGCAGGATAAAGATCCCTCACTATCATTGGCCCTGAGTGCCGAGTAAAGGTCAAAAGAAGAAGGCCGCATTTGGCTATAATCTGAAGGAATCATTTGTACGAAACATTTATGGTTTAATTAAATGTCCATGACTTGGTTGGCTGAACATAGCTGGTCAGATTTTTCAAGCACGTCCATAGGTTTTTTTTTCATTTAGTTTGAAAGACCGTGTGAAATTGTAACATTTATGTCCGTTTTTCCTGGGGGTACTGTAACATATAAATGTTTTACAAAAAATAAACACATAAAAATATTTAATGCATAGATGCATGATAGTGTACATGGAAGATTAGAATTGATTTTGCTCGAGAACCAAACTGAACTAAAATTTATCTAATTCAAAATTTTGATATACAAGTACATAAAATGAAACTGACAAAATAAATGGTTGTTTGCATGAAGAAAAAAATTAACGCCCATGCCAGGCTCGAACCAAAAACTCTTCGCTTCGAGTGCAGTGAGCAGGTAACCCAACTTTCTGAGCTATCACCGCTACACGTATACCGATAATTTTAAAAGGACATAGAAGCACCACTTTCACACATTTGGATTTTTTTGGGAAAAGTTATATTTTCTGGGTCTTCTCTCCATTTTTTAAAAACGTGTATTCGTTTCTTTGAATTTAAATACACACGAATAACGTTTCAAAATCAGGAAAGAAGACCCAGAGAGAGAAAAATTTTAGAAAAACGTGTCTAAAAATGTACCTTTTTGTAACAAATGTCTGATCTGGCCAATTTTCAAGTTATTTTTTTTAGCTAATCAGAGCTCAATTTCAGGAAAATATTTTCCTTTCCTGTTGCACAGGAACCCGATAAATAAAAAAAATGTTAAAATTTCATGTGACATGTCGATAACTTTTCACTTTTCATGTACGCCCAGATTCCTGCCGAATGCCCATCAAAAGCGCCAACGTTCTTTGAAGCCCTTCACCGGCATACAGTGACGTCTCCATATGAATGAAAAAATCTCGAGACGGACGTTAAACAATACACAATCAATCAATCTGCTCGTACACTTTGGTTGTACTTCTTCACTAATTGACAAAGAATAATATGTAACCAGAATAAGCTTGC